AAAAAAAAAAAAAAAAAAAAAAAAAAAAAAAAAAAAAAAAAATTTGTGATTGACTCCAAAGCCTGTTTTTTTCCATTAAACTCTTTTTCCTATACTCAGAAAAACACATAACAAGATGGTTTTCTCCAAAAAACAGTTTGTCACCCTATTTCTTTTGTGTCTTTGATGACTTCTAGTCACAGCATCTGACAATTTTCTCTTCAGGAGTTGGTAAGCTGTCTCTGTAAAGGGCCAGATAGTAAATAGGTCAGGCTTTGCAGGCTATATGGTTTCTGCAGCAACTACTCAGCTTTGCTGTTGTATCACACAAGCAGCCATGGACAATACTGAATGAATGGGTGTGTCTGTGATACAGTAAAACTTTATTTACAAATTAGGCTGGATTTTACCCTCTGGTTGCAAATTGCTGACCCCTTTAATTGCTTAGTAGGCAGGGATTTTTCTGTCTCCTCCCCAACTTGCTTTAAAAAATTGGCATTTTCACTTCATACAACGAGGCATCAAGGTGGGGGGGAGGGTTATGTTAAAATAGAATTGAATTGACTTCTGCTTTTTCAGAAATAGTTCCATCTCTCAGGAGGGAAAGAATATGTATGTATGTATGTATGTATGTATATACGTAAAATATAGTTTAAACCAGAAATAAATTTCTGTTTTTATTCTTTTCTGTTCTGCAGATGCCTTGCATCTAGAGAGTCTTACAGTGATTCCAAGACTGGAGTTGACACCTTTCTCAGGTGTAGCCAACCGAATCCCAGATGCATGTGAAAGGCCCAACCATGTGAAAATAGAGGATGGTGCTTTGGATGTGACTAGAAGACACAAGTAAGTTAAAAGAGCCAAATATATTTACCCTATTCCTGTTGCCTAAGCTTTTAATCACTTAAACTTTTGAATCCTGAGATCATAATGTGTTAAGTAAGAAGGTTTTATTGTGGAACTTATCTAACTGAAAATTGACAATTTTAAAGGTGTCTCTAATAGTTTTCTTGAAGTGCAGTTTTCTTGCACTTTGAATTCCGTAACATCCATTCTAAAATGTAAAAAGACAAATTGGGCTACCCAAAATGTTTCCCAGGTTTTAGGAATATACTATATACTGCTAAGTTAACTTTTTCAGATAGGTTTTGATCACATTTCTATTCCTTCTTCTTCAAGGTTAATGAGCCTTTGCAAATCCTTATCCCCACACCCTCCCTCTCCCCAAGCTCCTCTGTGCTCACCTTTCTGAGTACACAGACTGACCTTCCTCAGGAAAAGTTTGAAATGTCAGTGGGGTTTGTGAGCACTATCCACCCCGGTGAAATTTCCTTTCTGTATCAAGGATGCAGAAACAAGACTTTGAATTGCAAATTCTTTATTTCCATTTTTGGCTAGATTCTCTATGGTTTGCCATCTCTCTCTGGTGGAGGTTGGAGCTGCCTTTCCTTATGTCTTACTAAAACCATGAACTTAATTAGAAATTTGGTTAAGCTGAGGCAGGGAAGGGAAACAGTTGGTATTAGCTGAAATTCTCCGTCTTTCCATCAGGAGTAAGGAGCTTTGTTTTCTGTTGCCAGGTGCCCAGGCCCTGAAGTTGGCCCCCACTCAGGAACAGATCTTTCAGGTTGCCTCAGGATGAATGATGATCTAAGGATGGAAGTGAGCATTTGACTATATTTCACCTTTATTTTTAGTACGACCATATCCTGGTCCTCTTCTATGGTATATTTTTTTGAACTATTATGGACACTCTTATAGCAAGTGTGCATCTCATACCACAAAACACAGATGCATGAGAAATGTCAACCTTTCTTGACAAGAAATTACAATTCAGGCATTTGGGGGCTTTCTACTCCTTCTGTAGTACAAGCTAAAGGATAAATAGACAAAAGGAGATTTTGGTGAAGTATGCTGAATATTTTATTCGAGAGGCAGGCTGATTTGGGACTTAAAATTTACTAATGACTATTAAGTCTTAGGTCTCATTGTCTGTCTAAGAATTGAAGTCAAACCTAGATAATCTTTGAAGTGCTGGCACTTTGTAAAAAGTCACAAAGTAGGGCAGTGCCCAGAGAGTATTCATTGCTGCAGTTAGGTGCTAATGGTACTTTTCTACCAAAAAAAGAATAACACTAAATAACACATCATTTAGGCCAACTCCCCAGGTTATGGAGATATGTATGGAATGATCCCTCTGTCTACAGTTGAAACCACGTTCCATAATTTTCTCAGTCAAAAGGAGCAGACAGTTCTGTTTCAGGATCTAACAATCCAGTATTCTTCCTTTTTTTAATTGCTTGAGATATAATTCACATATTAAACAGCTTATTCAGGTAAATGCTTTTATTAATTTTTTAAATATAATTTATTATCAAGTTAGCTGACATATGGTATATACAGTGTGCTCTTGGTTTCAGGAGTAGATTCCCATGATTCATCGCTTACATACAATATCCAGTGCTTATCCCAACAAGTGCCCTCTTCAATGCCCATCACTCATTTTCCCCTCCCCCAGACCCCCCATCCACCTCCCGTTTGTTCTCTGTATTTAAGAGTTTCTTATGATTTGCCTCCCTCTCTGTTTGGAACTATTTTTGCCCCTTCCCTTGCCCCATGGTCTTCTGTTAAGTTTCTCAAACTCCACATATGAGTGAAAACATATGATATTTGTCTTTCTCCGACTGATTTATTTCACTTAGCATAATACCCTCCAGTTCCATCCACGTTGTTGCAAATGGCAAGATTTCATTCTTTCTCATTGCCAGGTAGTATTCCATTGTATATATAAACCACATCTTCTTTATCCATTCATCAGTTGATGGACATGTGGGCTCTTACCATAATTTGACTATTGTTGAAAGTGCTTCTAAAAACATTGGGGTACACATACCCCCATGAATGAACACTCCTGCATCATTTGAAGAAATTCCTAGTAGTGCTATTGCTGGATCATAGGGTAATTCTATTTTTAATTTTTTGAGGAACCTCCACACTGTTTTCCAGAGCGGCTACACGAGTTTGCATTCCTACCAACAGTGCAAGAGGGTTTCTGTTTCTTCACATCCTTGCCAACATCTGTTTTTTTCCTGAGTTGTTAATTTTAGCCACTCAGGTTGGTGTGAGGTGGTATCTCAATGTGGTTTTGATTTGTATTTCTCTGATGATGAGTGATGTTGAGCATCTTTTCATGTGTCTGTTGGCCATCTGGATGTCTTCTTTGGAAAAGTGTCTGTTCATGTGTTCTGCCCATTTCTTCACTGGATTGCTTTTCAGGTGGTAAGTTTGGTGAGTTCTTTATAGATTCTGGATACTAACCCTTTATCTGATATGTCCTCTGCAAATATCTTTTCCTGTTCCGTCAGTTGCCTTTTCGTTTTGTTGATTGTTTCCTTTGCAATGCAGAAGTTTTTTATCTTCCTGAGGTCCCAATAGTTCATTTTTGCTTTTAATTCCCTTGCCTTGGAGATATGTCAAGTAAGAAATTGCTGCGGCTGAGGTCAGAGAGGTTTTTTCCTGCTTTCTCCTCTAGGGTTTTGATGGTTTCCTGTCTCACATTCAGGTCCTTTATCCATTTTGAGTTTATTTTTGTGAATGGTGTAAGACAGTGGTCTAGTTTCGTTCTTCTGCATGTTGCTGTCCAGTTCTTCCAGCACCATTTGTTAAAGAGACTGTCTTTTTTTCCATTGGATACTCTCTGCTTTTTCAAAGATTAGTTGGCCATATATTTGGGGATCCAATTCCGGGTTCTCTATTCCGTTGGTCTGTGTGTCTGTTTTGTGGCAATACCATACTGTCTTGATGATTACAGCTTTGTAATAAAGGCTAAAGTCCAGGATTGTGATGCCTCCAGCTTTGGTTTTCTTTTTCAACAGTACTTTAGCTATTTGGGGTCTTCTGTGGTTCCATACAAATTTTAGGATTGTTTGTTCTACCTCTGAGAAGAATGCCTGTGTAATTTTGATTGGGATTGCACTGAATGTGTAGATTGCTTTGGGTAGTATTGACATTTTAACAATATTTGTTCTTCCAATTCATGAGCATGGATTGTTTTTCCATTTCTTTGTGTCTTCTTCAATTTCTTTTGTAAGTTTTCTATAGTTTTCAGCATACAGATCTTTTACATCTTCGGTTAAGTTTATTTTATGGTATTTTAGGTATTTTATGATTCTTGGTAGAACAATTAACTGCTTTTAATTAAATTCACAGAATTGCACAACAACCATCAAAATCAATTTTAGAACATTTTGATCATCCCATAAAGAAACCTCATACCCATCAACAGTCTATCCCTTCTTCCCACCAAACTCTCAGTCCTAGGGAATCACTAATCTACTTTCTCTGTATATGCATTTGCCTATTCTGGATATCTCATATATATGGAATAACCTCTTGTGGCCGACTTCTTTCAGTTAGTATGATATTTTCAAGTTTCACCATGTTGTAGCATGTTACAAGTACTTCAATCCTTTTTATGACTGAATAATGTTCCAATGTATGTCTATATCACATTTTATCTATTCATCAGCTGATGAGTGCTTGTGTTGTTTCAATTTTTTACCTATGTAAATAATGCTACTATGAACTTTAGTGTATAAGTTTTTCTGTACCCATATGGGTATCCTTTTGGGCATATATCTGGGAGTGGAATTGCTACATCATATGGTATCTGTAATATTTCAAGGAACTATAAAACAGATTTCCAAAGTCGCTGCACCATTTTATATTCCTGCAAGTAATGCAGGAGGATTCCAGTTTCTCTACATCCTTGTCAACATTTGTCCCTTTTTTGATTATAGCCATCTTGGCAGGTGTGACGTAGGTTTTGATGGACTGGGTATGCATTCTCCTAATGACCAATGGTGTCGAACATCTTTTCTTGTACTTTTTGACCAATGTGCTTCTTCTTTGGAGGTATATCTCCCCAGATCTTTGCCCATTTCATAAATGGGGTTCTTTTCACTGCTAAGTTATATGACTTGTTCTTATTATTCCTTTTAAGTGTGTGTATCTGACATTTTTCTGTTCCTTAATACCCATCCTATTGAGTAGCTAAGAAAAAGGAAATGAATCTATTTTGCTATTAGTTAGCAGTTATTGTAAGTTTAATAAAGGAAGTTGAACTTGGAAGCTTACAGGATGTTTGGTTATTAGTAATTTCCCTTTTATCTGGCAGTGATTTTACCAAGAATGGGGAAGAAACAAACATCACTTGTGTACCAGGTACTTTGTAGGAAAGCATTTCCACATGCCATGTTATTAATCTTCTCTGCAACTTTGGTAGGCATTCTCTGCTTTTACAAATGACACAGCTGAAGTTCACAGAGGTTAGTAACTTCCCCAAGATCACTCAACTGGTAACTAGCAAATGTGGGATTCAAATTCTTGTTTGTCCACGTTCAAAAAATAAGCCTTTCTCATGGCTCCTCTTAGAACACTGAATTTAGAACTTTCACTCATAATAATTGATCATAATTACCTTGAAAGTAGTTTTTTGGCTAGGAAATGGGCTTCTTTATTTATCTAAAAGGATCTCCAAATGCACTGTCATTAGGCTATGTGACTGAGTTTTGGTTTTTGTTGTTGTTGTTGTTCCCCACCCCCCCCCAACCCCCCATGGTCTTGATGCCATTAAGAAGCAGGAGCTAACACATCACAATGGAAACTCCTACCCAACGTTCCTGGGGAAACGTATAGGTTTCCTGAAGGTTCTCATGCTGTATTCTGTGCCATTTCCTCTAGAGTCCCCAGGAAGCAGTCTGTCTGCTGCACTTGGCAGCTGATATCATTAATTCTCACTGTTCCCTTTCCAGGTTTCTTCTCCCCTGAAGAATCTCTGCGGCCTGTTCACTGCATGATTCACTCTCTCATGAGAGTAAATCCTACCTTCCTACCCCTCAACTCCCCCCACTTCATAAGTAATAGAAAATTCTCCTTAGAAAACAATTTTCTAAGCATTCTCATTAATAAGTACAGGGATTTATAATGAAATGTGAGATAAAAATTGCCAGAAAATATAATCTGTGTTTATCCCAGTGACCCATAAATTATGGTATTTTTCTTACGTCTCTGGCTTCAAACTCTAGTATTTTTGTCACTCTTGAGAGCCTTCATAACAAGCAACTTGAACCCACGAGCTGTGAGATCATGACCTGAGCGGAAGTCAGACACTTAACCAACTGAGCCACCCAGGCGCCCCTGAACATCCGTGTTCTTAAGAGGATCTATTTGAGTGAGCAAAGGACTCTAATAAGATTATTATCTCAAAAAGAACATCTCATAGTAAATAATTTGGGGCCCAGCTTAAGACATTTTTGGGAAAAATGGAGTTACTCTACTGACCCAGAAAATTCATTTATTTGGAATATTGCAGAAAAAAAAAAAGAATAAATTATTTCTAAACCTCGCCTTTTAGAGATTCAGACTAAAATATTTATGATATCTGGGATTTGTATCAAAACAATGCAGGGGTGGGTTTAGTGGGTGACAAAACAGAGTGGCCACAGGTTGGTAATAGCTGAATCTGCAGAACGGGTACACAAATTTTACTTATTCTATTCTGTTACTTTTGTATTTATTTAAAATTTTTCTGGTAATGATTTAGAATTATAGCCACATCACATAGGCTTTGGAATCAAGCAGGCCTGGATTTAAGACTGGCT